ATATATATATATATATATATATATATATATATATATATATATATATATATATATATATATATATATATATATATATATATATATATATATATATATATATATATATATATATATATATATATATATATATATATATATATATATATATATATATATATATATATATATATATATATATATATATATATATATATATGTATGTATGTATAAGAAATAAAAAGTACTAAAAACGTAGATTTTTTCATCGTGATAATCAGTCTCATGTTAGTATGGAAAATAACGTGAATGCTCTGTGGAGTGTATGTGACTCTGTGCACATTAAGATCATAGGAAAAAAATAAAAGAAACAGGAATAGGGTAAATGGAATGGTTTTGCGAAAGACCCGACCGAATCAGAAACTACCTACGTCATAGTGAATCCCAACGTTAAACACAACCGGTTCTTACATATACTTTTTCCTTTTCTTACGAGGAAGTGAGGTATGTTTATTACGCCCAGTATCTTTTTCTTTCTTTTTTCGACCCTTCAAATACATAATATAAAATAATAATACCAATATATACGATAGCTTAAGTTATAATTATTATTTATTATACATATAAATATAATATACAGGATGACCCACAATGACCGCCCGCTAAGTACATAGCATTATTCCTTACCAAAAACTGAGACGAAAAGTCCTGAGCCATTTTTTTTTATAACGCTTAATAAAAGAGTTATTATCGAGTAAAGTTTGGCCAATCAGCGCCAACCTTTAGCTGGGCGTACGTCAGTGAGCCGCGCACCGTGAAGTGTGTACCGCCGCATACGGCTACCAGACGCGCGGCTCACCGACGTGCGCCCGGCTAAAGGTCGGCGCTAATTGGCCAGACTTTAATCAATAATAACTCCTTTATCAAGCGTTATAAAAAAAAATGGCTCAGGACTTTTCGTCTCAGTTTTTGATAAAGAATAACGCTATGTACCTAGTGGACGGTCATTGCGGGTCAACCTGTATATATATTGTATATACAATACATATATACATATATATATATATAAATCCGCAAATGAACCCCCCTCCGAGCTAAAATTCGAAAATGTGTGATTTTGCGAATTTTTTCATTTTAGTGGCTTACTTTACTTCATAATTTACTGGGCTATACCAAATTTCAACCTTCTGCCATTTTTTTTTCTGAAATACAGCCAATTTTTAATTTTTTCCCCAAACTTTAGGGGCCTCTAGCTCGGAGGAGGATTCATTTGCGGACCCATGTTCATAGGAAAAAAAGTCTTATTTTGACCTCTAGAATATGCTCCTAAAGTTTAGTGCATCATTTCAGATACACCCTGTATATATATACAAATATTATACAAATCTTTTTAAATTTTTGAGTCATTTCATTCATAGAGAAACGTCGAGATAAATTTTGAATTATGCAAACAATTAAAACCTTTTTTTGTATATATTGACATATTTATAACACATCATGTAATTGTATTGCACAAGATGTTGAGTTGTTAACTAGCAATAATTATAGTAGAATTTGCGTTTTTAACAAATTGCCTTTTGTCGGAGTAATTAACTTTATACACAATCAAAATACTATCTCCCTCCCTCCTTCCCTCCCTCCCTGCTACCCCTCTCTCACTCTCACTCACTCACTCACTCACTCACTCTTTCTCTCTCTCTCCCCCCCCCCCTCTCCATCTCTCCCTCTCTCTCTCTTCCTCTCTCTCTCTCCCTCTCTCTCTCTTGTTGATGAAGCCATCACAGGTCGTAATCACGTAGTTACGTAACGAAAATTAAATTTTGAAAGTTTATGTATGTTCAACGCAAGTGTAACTTCATCGAACGATTTTTTATTAGATTTAAGCAAGTTGAAAGAAACACTAGCAGATAATTCATAATAAAGCAGATAATTCGATTCGATATGCAAGAAAGATATGATTGACGCATGATTCTTACATGACTGTGCTTCACAGTCATACCTAGCTTGGCACAAGGTCGAAGAATATCGCTATTGTATTAGAAAAATGATTCTCACCTTCGATAGTAAAAATGCACATCGAAACGATCTCGATACTTTGTGTCCGTTGTGCTTTATTTGCTTTTTCTTTTCTTATTTAGTATAAAAGAATTTATAGTGGGAAAACTTAATTCCATCTCTCTTTTTTCCTCATTGCGATAATTGTAAAGCGACGTCTACAATAGAGATTTTAAGCCCTAAGCCTTAAGAAATTGACCAATCACAGTCAAATGAGGAGAATACTCGACTGTGATTAGTCAATTTCTTAAGGCTTACGGCTTAAAATCTTATTGTAGACGCCGCTTAACAAGGAGAAACTTGTCTTTTATTTTTTACATATTTCTTACAGAAACAGACTATTCAAAAAATTCATACAGTTTTCCTGAAATATAAAATTTATAAATCATACATTTGTTAAATAAAATATAATAATAAACAATTAATAAAAATTTTCTTACCATAATATATAATCACCATAGAAAAAGATATATATTATCAATACAAAATCTAAAATTTCAATATAAGTTATAATACACGGATTTTACTAAATATATTTCCACGCATTATCATTGCCTTGTAACAGACAGCATTGAACATCCTTTGTAATTTTCTTCAGCATCTTCTTATATGAAATCGTCGAATACGCAACAAGGAAATGTGTTATTTCTTGCGCAGGTACATTATAAGTGTATAACAGATATCAGAAAATCGCTGACAACAGGTATTTATGGTTTTAATTATAATTATCACTATAATTATATCGTGCTATAAAGTGGCAAATATATTATAAGATGTGTATATTTCCATTTTTTTCATTTCCAAACTAATACACACAAAAGCGCATCTTTAACTTTAATTCTATATCTGCTTTTTTTAAGACATATTTCCTAATTTTCAAAAAATTATTGTGATACAACCAAATTATGATTCTTCTTACTTGTGAGATAAATCAATTTTGAAATTCCATAAGCGTATATACGATAAATAAAATAACGATTATTTTTGAAGATAAAACGTCTTATACTTAAATGTTCTGTTTCTTTGTCGAAGATTGTAATTTTTGTTCAATTCGTAATTCTAATTCAATTTTGAAATGCGTAAAAGTTGAATGCAGGAAGAAAAAGAGAAAAAGTATATTATGACAAAAAATACACGTTCATAGTAGAGCAAATGGTTACGTTTTGTTACTGTGATAACTCTTTTTTGAGCACGATCCTCTACAAAAACGGAAGAG